GGCCTAGGGGGGGATTTTATAGGGATTTTAAAGGGATTTTATAATTTTAAATCTAATACAGGTCATTTAATATATATTTTAATTTGGCTTTTAGATATTTATTGTATTGTACTGTTTTTATTTACCTGTAAGCCGCCCTGAGTCCCTCGGGAGAAGGGCGGGGTATAAATGGGAATAATAAATAAATAAAATAAATAAAATTCAGAATGTACTTGTATTTGTGTGTGGTGGGAGTAGAATCTGATCTCACACATTACAATTAAGTTAGAATGTAGTTTGTTTGGCTTTAACTTAGTATGGTTATTTGTGTTGTGTGATGGTGTGTTTTGTGGTTTGCAATCCATGATTTATTGCTTAAAATTACGTGTGAACCAGAATCTGGTTTAAAAACTCTTTGGCTTAGTGTTATGTGTGAATCTATTCTTTGTTTGTGTGTGGGATCCAAGGCTTAGGGCAAAAATTTTCAATCTGATGTACTACAAATGTGTTAAATTACAGCTCCCATCATCTCCAGCTAGTGGAGACAATAGGTATAAATGATGCAAAAGATGGCAGGAGTTGTAGCCAAGGCACAATAGGAAGATATTTGATTGCAGAAGTCTGGGTGTTGTGAAGCTAGGGAAAAAAATCAGTTTTTTCCACTCTACAGATCAGGAACAATTGTGATTTATTTCATAAGAGATGATTTTGGAGGTAAATATAACAACAATTGCACAACCATTTAACATATTAAAATTGCAATACAAAGAAATGGAAATAAAACTCTGTTTTTCCTTCTGTAGATCCCTGGATACAGGCTACACTACAGTATTTTGTAACAAAATGTCAGGTACCAAAACAAGCATCTGCACTGCTCTCTCTTTGCTATCAAACGTTCAGATGTCATCTGCATTAACTTAGAAGGTTTTTCCTCTTGAGAAATAATGGGAACAGGAACGTTTTTATTAAAAAAAAAAATCTGCAGGTAGTTGCATTCCTGAGACAGACACACTTACTTTTGGTGAGTGATCTGCAAGTCATGCCTGCCTCTATTCCTCTTTACAGAGAGGTGTGCCACCCCATGCTACTTCCCTTGTCCCAGGGCTCTTCCTGCACTTCTTGCATGGCACATGCATAATTGTGGCACATGCCACAACACACAGTCAGAGAATAAGTAATGGTATCTGGTTGGTTTGGTGCTGGAAGGATGGGAGTGGTAGCACTACATACGGTATAATGATATACACAGATAGTTCCCAAAAGGAGTCTAGAAGAAAAGAGCATAGCCTGTTGTGTAGGATCAAAACCACCTACATGTTTAAGAGCTGGGGAATATGATGTCCTATTTTAAAGAAATATATTTAAAAATAGAGACCCATACAAAATTACCTGGTCTTGTAAAGAAATTGCTGTCCAAATGGATAGCTGTAGGCTTGACTGCGGCAGTAATCCTCTATTCTAGCCTTCCTTGACTTGAGGGAATTATGGTTGGAAATTCTGGAAGTTGTATTCTCAGCCCATTAGAGGGCACCAGGTTGGAGAAGGCTGATATACTCACATATGGGGGACAGAGCACTGAATTCAATGAGGCATATGTGAGTAGATTTACCAGATTGTACCATGGATGTTAGGATACACATGTATGTGTTTTCATAAGGGGAGAAGGTGGTACTAGGGTGCCGAGGACCAGGGCACGGAACATCTTAGAAACCATAGGGCCGTGTTGGTGAACCTACAGCACACGTGCCACAGGCGGCACGCAGAGCCCTCTCTGTGGGCACGCGCACCATCGCCCCAGTCCTAGGCCTTCAGTCCCGTCCATGAGCAACCTGCATCAAAATCTCCCCGGGCAAGTGGCTTTTTAAGCTGGGTTTTATAAAACCTTTTAGCTTTAGGCCTCCGCCACTGTGTGCAAAAAAAAAAAAAGTTCAATCAATTTCAACTTCTCGCGGGGAAAAAAAAGATCTCGCAAAGTTGGAATTGATNGTGCGGGGGGGGTAGCAGGATGCTCTGCGGGGGGTGGAGCGGAGCAGCGGGAGCCGGGCACTCCGTGCGGGGGGCGGGGCGGGACCTGTGCATGGGGTGGAGAAGCAACACAGCGGCGCTAGCATGGTGATAGACCAGTTGCTTCCCTCTCCCTGCCAGATACCTGCCGAAGCCGCACAGGGTAAGGTTGCCACGCCCGCCCCTGCCCAGATGCCCTCGCCTCCCCCAAGTGTTTTTTTACTAACCTGCCTTTCAGCTGCATTCCGTTTCTCTATTCGCTTCTCAGCTTTCGCCGCATGTTTGTGGGACTATCAGTAAAAAAAAAAAAGTTCCATCAGACTTTCTAACTTCTCACGAGATCTCAAGAAGTTAGAAAGTCTGATGGAACTTTTTTTTTTTACCGACAGTCCTACAAACACAGGGCGAAGGCTGAGAAGCGAACAGAGAAACGGAATGCAGCTGAAAGACAGGTTAGTAAAAAAAAACGCTTGGGGGAGGCAAGGGCATCTGGGCGGGGGCAGGCGTGGCAACCTTACCCTGCATGGTGGCGGGAGGGTGGGGCGTGTACCCTTCCCGTGCCAGGCCAGCCCCTGCAGCCCCAGGGCGGCTGTGCTGGGCGGCGGTGGGCAGGGCGTTGAGGTGGGGGCCAGCAGGCCGACCAAAGCAGCAGGTGGAGCGCCAGAGGCTCAGGGAGGTAGGGTGCTGAAGTGGGCAGTCGGGCCATTGGCAAGAGCAATGCGGTTGAGTGGAAAGTGGCCTCAGGACAAGTGGGGCAGGTAAGGAAAGAAATCCTCGCTCCCCCCAGAAATTGCCTTTCTTTCCTTACCTGACTCCCAGCCCCGTGCCGTTTCTCCTTCATGATCCGCCGCCACAGCGTGCAAGGAAACAAAGGTTTTTTTGGGGGAAAAAGGTCAATCAATTCCAACTTCTCGTGAAAGATTGCGAAGTTGGAATTCATTGATTGACATTTCCCCCCCCCAAAAAACCCTTCCTTTTTTCCCTTGCACGCTGCGGCGGCGAATCGCGAAGGAGAAACTACTAACTACTATTCCTCGCTCATCGCGTCATCAGATAACCGCCCGGCCGCCCTCTTCAGGGTGACTCGCTCTCTCCTCCAACTGAGGGGAGGGGGGGATCCCCTGGAGGGGAGGGCCGAGGATTTTGCGCAATATCTGTATGACAAAGTCGCGCGGATCCGGGAAGGCTTGGACTCCGACTGGCTGGCCCAGGGGGAGGNCCTAGGGTGGATTTTAAATCGGGTTCATTTTTAGAAAATTTTAAATGTCACAACTTAAAATATTTGGGTTTTAATTGGTTTTATTCGGCGGGGATTGTGGGATTGTTTTTGTTTTAAAAAATGTTGTGAGCCGCCCTGAGTCCTCCGGGAGAAGGGCGGGATACAAATTGAATAAAATGAAATGAAATGAAATGAAATGTCAGAGAAGAGAACTTCGCAGCTCTGCCTACAGAGCCACCAAAGCTGTAGCTGAATCGGCAGGTGAGGGGGGAACCTGCCCCACTTGTACTACGGCAATGCAGAGGCATTGGGCACAATACGCAAGGCGGCAAACAGCCGTGTCACACCAAAACCAGCCGTTTGCCACCTCCTGCCCAATGCCGCTGCAATGAGGCTGTGGAACAAGCTGGGCGGCTGTAAGAAACTGGTATACCGGTTCCTTACCTCCACCCGGCTTGTTCCACAGCCTCATGGCAGCGGCATTGGGTGCGACGCACAAGGCGGCAAATGGCCGGCACCCGATGATAAATAAGTGGGGTTTGGGTTGCAGTTTGGGCACTCAGTCTCTAAAAGGTTCGCCATCACTGCCATAGGGCCTGAAAAGCGGATATTTGTATCTTAATGTAAGAAAGAGAATACAAGGCCTCCTGGGTGTATCTTTTTCTGACAGTGGACTGCATAATTGATCTAGGAATTAAGTTTGTATCTTTTTGTTTTAATAACACTAAACGGGGAAATATCTGGGAAGTTTACTCGGGAATATTTGACTGGTAGAGAGGATTGAGAAGAATGGCAGGTCATGTACAATAGTCAGAGCAGGTCTGAGCTGATTGAACTGCAGTTAAAGACAAGATTTCAGTGGTGCCTGTGGCTCAGGAAACAGATTAAGCTTGAGGACATGCTTCCATTAGCTGTGTTTGGCTGCTGGGCTAGGCAAGTGGGTCTTCCTGCGCAAGGGGAGTAGGGGGAGGAGTGATACAGGTCACATACTGAGGCTTTGGGAAACCAAGGCCTGGGAACCATATTTCCCATCATGCATGATTGGTGATTACACATTCCAGTCTACTTTCCTGCATATGTGGATTTATCTTGGGTAGAGCAGAGAATTCTGTCCAAGGCAGGTTATTCCTCTGAGCATCAAAAACAAGGAAAGAAAGTTGCTCTGTAAGTTTGTGTGCTTCTGATTTAATTCCCATAATACTCTTCAGCTTGTAGTCTGTCTCAGTCAAAGTCATGATTTTGTTCATCTTGAAAATGAAGGGTATTGTTAAGCCTATCTTACACTTATGGAGTGATGCTTACAATTACCCAATGTCTAGATATGACATAGATGAACAGATCTGAACTTCAGAAGTAGACAAGTACTAGATCAGGGGTCTTCAAACTTGGCCCTTTTATGACTTGTGGACTTCAACTCCCAGAATTCCTCAGCCAGCGTGCCTGGCTGAGGAATTCTGGGAGTTGAAGTCCACAAGTCATAAAAGGGCCAAGCTTGAAGACCCCTGTACTAGATACTCCTTTGCACTCAAAGTCATTGCTTCCCAAATGATTGCCTCTCCTTGTTCCCCTGCTCTTGGTTCAGTTCACAGATCAGAATAGCAGGAAAACAAGCCTACTCTTAATGGTCTTTGAAGGAACTGTTCTGGTGTATTCAATTGGGATATTGAATGTGGCTCATATTAAAAGATCTCAGCTCTCTTACCATGTTTGAAGCCTTGTTTCTGTCTTATTCAGCTTGGTGTATGGTGGATCCCGAAGCTCGCATCCAGACACAGATATTTTACACCGCCAAGCATATGCCGCTCCCCATCCTCTGCAGGGCTATGCCACAAACCACCACCCAGCAGGTATGGTGTCTGTCTTGCCATTCTCCTTGAAGCCTGGAAAGAGAAATGTTTTTAACCATGTCTTCTCTTCCTTCCCTCTTCTGCTTACTTTTTCCCATTTTCAATTTACCATTTTTATTAGTTTATAATATAAAATATAAAAATACAAAAGCAAATAGTAGGAGGGAAAAGGGAGGGGGAAAAGGTGCAAGGAGAAGTGTAGAAAAGAAGGGTGAAAAGAAAAAAAAGGCATTGACTTCCGACTCCCTCTAGTGCAGTAGAATATAGCAGTAACATCAAACCTCAACTTTTTACTTTTATATAATAGTATAAACTAGACATTTCTATAACAAAAAATCTATCTAATCAGTAACGCCCAAAATCAAAGTTTAATTTTTTTCCACCTCAAGCACAAAGTCCAGAAGTGGTTTCCAAGTAGAAACAAAAGTACTTATATTTTTTTCTTTAATCAAAGCAGTCAATTTAGTCATCCCTGCTAACTCCATCAGCTTTTGCAGCCATTTGTCCATTGTGGGGATCGAAGTGTCCTTCCATTTTTGTGCATAAAGTAGTCTTGGTACAGTCAGCATATATAACATCAAAGTTCCATTTTTTCCCCCAAGTCTTTTTCCATTAAACCCAAAAGTTTCTGGTTTTATCTTTATATTCACTTTATGAATTTTCTGTATTAGAATATGAATCCTACTCCAATATTTCTTTGCTTTAACACATGGTAAAAGGTCCCTTCTTTACATTTCCAACATTCATTTGAAATACCTTTATACATTCTAGATAACTTGTCTGGTGTTAAATACCAGCAATACATCATCTTATAAAAATGTTTTTTAAGTTGTAGTTTAATGTAAATTTTAAAACTTTCATCTACATATTCTCCAATTGTTCAAGCATAACATTATATCCAAAATTTCTTGCCCACTGAATCATACAATGCTTTTTTTCAAATTCAATTTCAGTAACATTTTATAGACCTTAGCAATATGTTCATTACTACCACACAGTAAGATTTCCAATTCATTTTAACTAAATCATACCCATAACTATTTTTATCTAATCTAAATATTTCTTTCAATTATAAATATGTAAACCTATGGCAGACATTTTCTTCTGATTCTTAACTCTTCCTTAGACTTGAGGGTAGGATCACCAAAATTAAAAGATATTATTTTACCATAAATCCACCAGTCCAGCTTTGCCACCATTTCTTTTCTGAATTCCTGGAGGGGCACTCAAAGAGGCATCTTTGTAGAAAACCTTGTTTTATATTTATTCCAAACTCTTAGAATGGCACGTCTAACAAAATGGTTGTCAAAATCAGCATTTACTTTAACTTTATCATACCATAAATAACCATGACATCCAAACCTTAGTTCATGACCTTCTAGATCAAGTAGCCTCTTATTCTGGAGGTTCACCCACTCTTTTAGCCAGACCAAACAACAAGCATCGAAATACAGTTTCAAATCTGATAAACCCAACCCCTCTCTTTCCTTAACATCTTGCAGTGGTTTATATCTAATTCTTGGTTTTTTCCCTTACCGTATAAACTTGGAAATATCCCTCTGCCATTGTTTAAATGGAATATCAGTTGCAAGTATTGGTAATGTCTGAAACAGAAAAAGCATCTTTGGTAAGACATTAATCTTAATTACAGAGATTCTAATCTACCCAATAGTGATAAATGCAATTTGTCACATCTTAGTAAGTCCTTTTTAATATCATTCCAGAGAGGCATATAATTATTTTGAAACAGTTTTGTGTTCATGTTTGTCAACCTAACCCCCAAATATTTCACCTTTTTCTCAACCCTAAAACCAGACTTTTTAGTCAATATATCACAGTTCTGAGAGGGTATATTCTTTTTTTTATTTTTTATTTTTTTATATCAAGGTTTTATTAAGTTTTATAGGGTTGGGGAAGGGATGGGAATTGGGGTTCGGGGTGGGACTTGGGATTGGGACAGGGATGGGAACAATGGGGTTGCCCCCCGTTAACATTTTCAAGCTTTAGCAGACTGTTGTCCGGGTACATATGCGGTGAAGCAGCAGGTGTGGAATCACTGGGAGCTGTGGAGGCGGACCTGCACACAGGCGGCTCAGGTCTAATGGTCGCTTCTTGCTGATGAAGCAACAGCTGGATTCGGCGTCTATCTGAGTGACTGAGCAGCCCTCTTTAGGACCACACTGCTCACCTCCGTAGTATGAGGAAGGGGCTAGAAAATGTGCCCTAAACATTGTTGCTTCTTTCAAACCCTGTCCAGCCTACCGCGGTTG